GACATCCTCGAGAATTCAGCATATACACTCTATATGGAAACAGTACTGTCTACTATCACAAAATTTAAGTTATAGTAATTGCGGCACAGTTTGGTTGTCCGCGAAGTAATTGTCATGCATTACAGATGTTACTGTTTCATAGTTTCGTTTCAGAAGATGTACGTTAAACTATGAAACCTGTTGGCTTCCACACTCCCCAAATGTATGGTCTACCAAAGATGCATAATGTGGGATTACCTGTGAGGTCAATAATCCTACGGTGAATTCGTGGTGCCATCCAATAGCTAAATGACCGAAGTGCATGCTTTAGCCAGTGAGAAGATCCATAGTGAGACATACTATATCGAACACCTTCAAAGTTCTTCAATATTTGGGAGGCATAAACGTAGCCCACAAGCTTTTGTGTTCACTTGAGATACAGTCGCATTTCACCAACGTTCCGTTGAACGAGACTACTGACCACCTTTGTGAGTGTATCACGAAAAATGACATCGGACTAAAACGCCCAGCGGAAATGTTAAAAAGCATTTTCCTTCTTTGCACAAAAGATGTCAGGCTGTAGTTTCAAGGAAAAGTATATTGATAGATCGATGATGTGCTTGTGGACAACTTATTGGGCATCTTACTCCCGGACGTATTCGTGGGTATGATTTAATGGGAGATAGACAACACCATCAAGTTGGCGACTATATACACAAGGTGTGTTGATGCGATACGGTTAGTCATAGATTCGGATGAAGACGTTGCGCTTGCAACCAGAGCGCCCAATAAGTTGCACCAGAACCACAACGTGACATGCGAAACCGAGCGCGGTATCTGTGGCCTATAGTTAGAGCTTCTGCTCACACGACGACCAGTTGGTTCGTTCAAAAGTCAGTCTACCGAAAAGCGACCTGGACGGATTAATCTGACACTGTAAGAGCTCCTCGCTGATAAATCACAAGCTTTCTTTAGTTCGGGCTTCGTTCCATCGAGCCCATATGATTCGCACCACAGATAAACTGGAATCGAAGAAAGTACTGCCGGTTGACGAACTACAATCGAACGGTTATCCACTGCAGTTCCTGAAGCGTACTAGTCGTTGATAACGCAGTGCGGTGCAGACGAGTTATGATCCACAGAACCCACGCTTAGATATTGTAATATAAAATAGAAACCCGAGTCCGTTTGCGAACTTCCTTTGTGGTACCTTTCTGACTCGATCTCCCGCTGCGCTCCTTTGTTCACAACGTATCGTTGGAGGTAGCTTTTGGCACCACGCATCCTTCGTCCGCGGTAATCCGTGATTTGTTTGATTTCCTCGCGTCACCTCGTTGCTACACCTACTACTCATTGGTAACGCACCACACCGTGCCACAAGGAAAAGCGATCGAGAAATAACAGTGCAAAAGAGATCAGCTTCCATCAAGTTGACTTTCGAAGGTGATCACATCACGAACGTCGCCGCGAAACGAAGAAGCGCCTTAATAAAAAAAGGCATACAGTGTAGCCGACCTGGGCCTGCTAGTGCCCACAAGGCCACTGCTTAAGTGTTCAGTGAAGACACGGGTGTCGAAGTAGTGCAGGTTTCATTACTTATACAAATTCCCATCTAGCTTCAGAAACAGCTATGGTGGGAGCCCTGATCGAAATCTAGGTGCTCAAGTCATTGAACATATTCATTAGGGATCCCCAAACCGAGGAAACACGTGACTGCCGCACAAGGTGAATTAGGAAGCAAGGCTGTCTCAGAAATTACGTTGCAGTCGATGGACAGCAGTCACCAGGTGAATCCCGATGCGTCATTCACACTCCTCAGGGGCAGTAAAAGGTTTCAGATACTAAAGCTTTTCGAGACCATTGTTATCGATCGACAGCGTCCACTGCTCCTCGGTGTGAAAAAGCAACTGACAGCAACCCTAAGCCTGCCGTAGTAACGCGTAACTCACCGATCGGAGAACAGTCGCCTATCATTTAATTTGATGTGACGTTTCGAATCCTTTGTCAGTTGCATGTACGTGACCGGAGAGTATGTGCAAGCTGACAGTGTCTTTCCACAATGTTCGTCTTCAGAAAATCTTATTTGGTACTACAAAGGAGTTTCCCAGTTTGAACTGCGGATCACTTGCAATGAAAGTCAACGCCTCGTTGCACATAAACAGAACAGCGTCACTTTGTCTGCTGAAAACTGTTCAGAAGGTAAACGGCGGGAATTTTGTGAGAGTGGTTTTGCTAGACTGTCACAAGGGTGAAGATTTGCACAGATTATAGGAAATAGCCGCACAACCAACCTGGGTGAAATGCACTGTCCTACATGTGAGGTGTCAGGCGAATCTTCAATGGTTCAATGGTGCATGCTAGGATAAAAAGCATAGCTTTACAAGACCCACGGGATAGATATGCAAAAGAAAATTAACATCAAAATGTTCCAATGTGAAACGTGAAGTATCAGTGGTTAAAGCATTGCACTTTAGTAAAGTGTTGTGTATCGTTTATCACTAAGATGAAAGTCTAAGAGTCTTTCGAACGTCGTCATGTCTGGTGCGTTCACCACATATTTTGGTAATGCATTCCAGTGAGAACAGATTCTAAGTGAGTAAAAATACTTTCTACAATTCAGACGTGAATGTTGCGTCATTAGTTCTAGGTGGTTGCCTCGGTTTTGTTTGTAAGGGGCTAGAGTCAACAGTGATGTACATGGATGCTCGCTTTCAGTTAGTGTCCGGTATGTGAGAGTAAGATCTCCGCGAAGCCGTCGGTATTCGAATGAGAACACACCGAGTACACGAAGACGCATTTCATAACTTATACCGGATAGTCCACACGTTGCCTTTGTGACCCTTCTTTGGGGCTGTTCCAACAGGCGGATGTCTCGTTTTAACCATGGACGCCAGGCTTGAATTGCATATTCAACGTGAGGGCGAATGTAGGAGTTAATCAGCAATGGTACTAGCCGTCGCTCAAAGGTGCCGAGAGCTCGCCTCAAAAGTCTCAAGTTCAAGTTCGCCACACTTGCTGCTTTCAAACATCGGAGCGAAGTTCCAAGACTCACTTTCATGATTATACCTAAGTCGCGTTCACTAGTCACGTGTTGCCCCAAAAGGTATGTGTTGACGAAGCTGCTGCGCACCGTCAGCAGGTGGCACTTTGCAGGGTTCAGTGGAAGCTGGTTCCTTTCTGCCCATTCGTTAATCCGGGTCAGATCTTCCTGGACGTAGGCACGGTCGGATGCTGAGCGAATAGCTCCCCATATTTTAGCGTCGTCTGCAAATATTTGCATTGGAGATAGAATGTCTGCTGGAAGGTCATTAATGTAGACTAAAAACAGTAGCGGGCCGAGGACGAATCCTTGTGGTACACCACTGGAGACACAAAGGCTTTCAGAATAAGTGTCGGCTACTCTTACCTTGATTGCTCTGTCGTGTAAATAGTCTTCTAACCAAGTGCGCAGGGAACCATTGATGCCGTAGACACCAAGCTTTTGGAGGAGAAAGAAGTGATTGACCCTGTCGAAGGCTTTAGAAAAATCCAGGTATATCACATCTATGGGCACTCCTTCATCAGCCGCCCTGGTCCATAAGCCCCGAGTAATCAGCAAATTGGTGAGACAAGATCGTCTGCGTCTGAAACCATGTTGGGCACTAGAAGTCATTTTTTGGGTTTCAAAGTATCGCGTCAGTTCATCTGCGATTACCGATTCTATCAATTTGATAAAAAAGGAAGGAGAGTATTAGGTCGGTAGTTAGCAGTATCCGATCACTTGCCTCCTTTGTATATAGGAGTGATAATTCCATTTTTCCACTCAGATGGGAGTGTATGGGAGTTAAGTAGACCCTGGAAAAAGATTGCAAGTGGTGTTGCTATGGTGGGAGCAAGGGTTTTTAGTACTTTTGGGCAGATCACGTCGATTCCAGGGGCACTGTACTCTCGGAGAGACTGTAGTTTGCTTGCAACAGCTGCTGGAGTAAAGGTGACGCTGGATAAGCCAACGACGTTGGTTGGGAGTTGACAGCGCGAAGGTTCCATGATATTTGTAGCTACTGAGCCAAACTGCAAGAATAGAGCGTTAACGGCATCCACAGCAGTAGTTGTTAGGCCACTGACCGTCCTGAGTGGTGGTATTCCGGGCTTAGCCTTTCTTTTGCCATTCACAAATCTGTATGGTAGTTTGGTGTTACTCGTAAATTTCAGCACCATGTTCTCCTGCAATTCGTACTTATCGACTCTAATGAGTGACGTGCAGTAGTTTCTGATGACTTTGTAATTCTGCCATGTGATATCATGCGCTTAGCAAAGGTTGCCTCCAGATTTCATCTCTTCTGTTGATCCATTTACGTGTTCTGCTCCGGATCCACGTATTGGTCCGGCGCGATGCACGTAATGGTACAACCTTCGATGCTGATTGTATAACCCAGTTAATTTTGTCTTTTAGTTCATTCCACGTGTCATTCGCTGAGCTATGCGACTGTAGGCCCCAGTCAACGGTTGCTGCTAAGTTGTGCAGCTTAATATAGTCTATAATAGTTCGTTGAGTCTCTCTTGCTTTAGTAACAATACTGGCATAACACACAACCAATTGTTAGGACTGAATGGTCGCTACGGCCCAGTGGAGGGTCGTATGCTACTGACTCAACCATCAACTCTTCATTAGTCAGGATTAAGTCCAGGAGTGATGGCTTGTGTTGGAGTAAACAACGAACAACAAGATAGAACAAGTAAACTTGCTTAGCCGGATGGTGTCATCCAAGTGCCTTCGTGCAGACATCTGAGTATTGTATGCGCGGCAGAAAACGGTTTCTTTTGACCGTCTTCAAACTACCACGCACTGTTAGACATGGGGTAGCAAGAACCAGGGCGATGTCTCAATAGGAAGCATGTAGTTACGTATGACAGAGAGAATACCAGTTATGTTACAGGTCTCTTAAAGATATACCACCAGCTTTTACTTGCGTCCATCGTAAAACGACTTTCAGTCTATACTGACAACTTAAAGAGCTGATCTTTAGAACACAACGAAGGAGCAGTACAGCCATTGTGCACTTACTAAAAATAGGGTTGGGAAACATCAAAAGAAGGACTGTTTACTTAGGTTTATGTGTAAGAGATCATTTTAGTTCCATCAGTGTCGACGAATGTGACAATTGTGTGGCGATGTGCATCAGGACAATGGAAGAGCAATCGAAAAGCAAACCTCGAGAACGAGGTGAAGATAGAAACAAACAAATGTTGTTAAACTGTGCTTCCTGTCGGGTTTGAAATGCGCAAAACAGAGCTTCATTCGAGAGAGTGAACGTAGTCCAGCAACTCCTTGAGGTAGGCTGAAATTCAAAGGTGGAAAGAACAAGTGATTTAAGAACAAACGAGGAAACAAAAACCATTAATAACAGCGAATCACGTCTGCTTTTGCCGGACAGCCCCATAGCTCTACTCCAAGGCGCTTCACGATCTCGAACTGACTAGGGGTTAGCTGCATTTGTACGGAGTTAGAAAAAAGAGTTAAATTGGTAATCCTTCATGGCAAACATGTATACAGTTGACCATACATACACAGTTCAGTTCCACTGACGAGAGCGTGTACTACAGAGAAAGCATGTATAAATGTAGACAAGTTGAGAGCCGCATAAGTCCCGTACATTTTAATCAGGGCCGCATAGGAAAGTTACTCGAGCACATAGTATGGGTGGCGGCATCCGATTTCGGATTTGTCTCTACTTGAGGCCTCCATGGGGACATCTACAGGATGCTTACGCCTACAGACGGACCACGGATGGCTTCAGCTGTACCACCCACGGTTCCATCCACGCACCACATATCCAGTGTAAACCCAAAAGAATAAGACCAGGCGCCATGCGGATGAAAGCCACGTTTCATCAACGGAGCCGGCCCACATTCCTTCAACGTGCACAACATCAGCAGTTCTGTTCATCTAATTTGGAACTCATATGTACCAATCGTACACAAGGCGATGACTGGGTCATAGCTCGCTCCACACTAGACGCATGGAATCACTCGTTGAGTCTAGCTAGATCCCGATGATCGTGCCCCCCGTGCCCCCCAAACAACGATTCATAAGCTTCTGGAACTAGGGCCTAACGAGGTGAAGGGTGTTGGACAGGTGGGCACTTTGCCAACACTCATATCAAGCGTAGTCCCACCGGAATATCAAATAACTAACATAGAATTTGAATGGAAACAAACGCTTTGTGACAAGGAATATCTAGCAGAGTAACAGAACTGGGCAAATATACTAAAGTGGAATACGTTTTGTCCAGATTAAGAGGATCTATCTTAGGTGTAAGTCAGTGTAGTCCAACTGCGGTGAAAAAGAATGGTGTATGCAAAATCAGCCTCAACATGAGAAAAAAGCATATATATCCGCTATATATATGTATATATGTAATTATAATTTTTTTTAAGCTGGCTAAATTTCATTCCACTTTATTTGGTTTATTCTGCCTACCTGAATAATCTTCTATTAACTGGCCAAGTTGCTTACGCTAATTGCGCTTATCTCCGGTAACTTTGTTACGCTTGTAGCATTTTTAACTAACTTGCGGACATTTTTTCCTTATCGCGGATTTGTTGCTAACCAACTTAGTTCATATGGTAATTTAGCGAAGAGTTATGCCACCATATCTGTATGCATTATTGGATTTGTTTTATTTCATCTTGTCGTTTCAGGTGATTGGCTGTTGCTTGATATACCCAGTGTGGCTGCGCTTGATGTGCATGTTGATGAGATGCCTACTTGTCTATTACCCACTACCTCGTTCATACTGGCTCCAGGAGACAGTTGGTCGTTGCTGGAGGGGACGGGGTGCCCAGTCCTTGTGGCCGTGCTAGGCTCGAAGAGTGGTTCCATTCACTCAGTGTGGCGTGGACTACGGTCTAGCCATCGCCTTGTGTGCGCTTGATTCCCAATGCAGCTTGCTTGTGCTTGTCTGTAACGGAGCGTGGACCGGCTGCGTTGATGAAACGTGGCTCCCATCCGCATGCCTCCCGGTCTTATTCCTTCGGGTTTACACTGGATATGGGGTGTGTGGATGGATCTGTGTGTGGTGCAGCGCAAGCCACCCATGGTCCCTCTGTAGGCGCAGGCGTCCTGTGGCTTGCCACAGTGACAGGCAAATCCGAAACCGGATGCCGCCAACCATATTTTTTGCAATACCATTGGATCCTGACTGAAACAAACCACAGGGTACACACGAGCCTAGTGACCATTAACCGACGTGATCTTTCATCGATGAACTGCATATTGATTAGTCCCTGTATGCAGCTTAGCCATGATCGTTACAAAATGACATGTTAAGCTAATTCACTTCGCCTGATGAAGCTTTTGTGTCAAAAGCGAAAAGTTGTGTATCACCATAAATATATTAACCGGTCGTCTAGCAAGTTTTCTGAAATCGCAGATACACTCATGGGCTACCTTGAGAGCAACAACCTCAGTGTCACCGCAGCTTGGATTCCGCTGATTCCGGTTTCGTATTATGAAACTGCTGCTAGCCAATGAAAGATAAATGGAATCAGTCGATCCCAGCTTAGGAGTCGAAGTCGTCCACCTGGACTTCTCTAAAGAGTCCGACCGCCTGGACCACCACATTCTTCGTCACGAGCTTCGAAGATATAGAAACGGTGACCCTCTGTTAGGCTGGATATGCAATTTCTCCATTCAACGTCAGCTGAATGTGAGAGTACGCAGTTCCATTGCCGACCCAAATGAACTCCAGTGTGTTGTACCCCAAGGATCGATACTGGGACCATGTTTGCTCCTAGCCTTCATTAACGGCTTTGCCAGTATGCTTCTACCACACTTCTTAATATATGCAGACTATGTCGAAACCTGCCTTGATATCAAAGCAGTGGCCGATCACGCGGCGCTACAAAGGGATCTCGACAGGGCCTATAGTGGTCATCCGAAAATCGGCTCCAGTTCAACGTGTCGAAATACAAAGTCGTGAGCCTACCCACGAACATCGACTTGTGACCCGCAGTTGCAACGTGCTACCCAGAACAACGATCTCAGAGTGATTATGCAGGATGACTTTGGCTATTCAAAACTGGTGTAGAAGACATCGATAAGAGCCAGTCAGCACCGTATACTGTTACGGAGGACTTCCGAAAAGTTCTAGTCAGCACTCGTTTCACAACTTTTGAACACATACTTGCGACTCCAAGTGGAATATATGATTCAAGTCTGGTGTCCATGGCGCAAACATTATTGATGCACTTGATGATCCAAAACATAGTGCGACGAAATCCATCAATGATTTCTTTTACGTCCACGATCAACACAGACTGGAAGCCCTGGGATTGTACAGCAGATAAGTGGCGGCAGCGAGTAGATCTCATCATAGATTATCCACTAATGGCCAACCAAAATCACGCGTGTCGTGACCACATACAACTCAGCCCCAGTACAAATATGAGAGGCCGCAAGATCAAACTAGCTACTAGTGACTTAATAGCCGACAAATCGTTGTCCCCTACAGGTATCTAGAAGATAAAACTCCCATCCAACTCACATTAGTTTGGCCCCAACATTAACGCTTTACAAAAGACGACTTGACGGCACAATCCCACTTGAACTCCATTATATAGTCCATCTCACCTAGAGGACTAAATGACTCAAACTGAACCATGTGCTTACCAACTCTTCCTGTAACATGGTGGCGAAGAAACCTACATCAATGTTCATGTGAATAGCTTGGCAAGTCACTTCATTTTCCAAGTTATTTTTTACCTTTGGTTTCCTACTCTTCCCTCTGGTTATCACACGGTAGTTGTAAAACACTGGCTGTTTTGCGTGTCACAACTCGTAAATTACTGAACGAAGAAGATTACTTTTTGACAAGTGGTATGCATAGTCCAAGGTTGGGACTTACACAAATACCCCAAAGCAGTAAAATATCCCCGCACAATATGGAGACGTTAGTCCAGAATGAAGGATTCTGTAGACCAAGCGGAGCCGCACGCCAGGGTGATCAATGTGTTTGTTTGTCATGCGTAAGCTGCAGAGAATAAGCTGCACCCATTTACATGTTATACAGACTGAGTGTTCCGCGAATAATGGGGAAAGACGTATCCGAAGTGTCGAATCATGAATAATCAAAAGAATTTTTATGAATCGCAGCAGCAGGACAAATACATCCGTTGTTGTTCAGAAGCACCGGATTGTGGATGATACTCGACACTTACGGAAAGCATGACCGCAGAAATTGCTTCTGCATGAGAATCGACATCATACTTGTCTAATTTCAGTTTGCAGGTCCAAGTGGCATGCATCACAGATAGCAAAATCCATAAACTACGCCGGTCTTTTTGGTAGCAGACAGTTTGGTTTTGATAAAAGCGATTAAATAGGTCTTCTCTGTTCTGGTGTAATCTGAATACGTCGAAGGCAGGTTAAAGACACAAGTTGTTTTGCGAAGTCGTTATGCTTCTTGCAGCGAGGATCATGCCAAATTGCATATGATTCAAGGATGTACGAACGAGTTTCCTCATGGCCAAAAGATCCACGGTGGAGAGAAATGAGGTTGAGGGAGGGGGTTTACCCTTTGCTCAGTGGGTCTTCGTTGAACTGACAACCATCCGCAGCTGAATCTCTCGTGTGAATGGCCAAGGGAAGATTGTGACTGGTTGCCTGAGCCAGTTATGAGCTGAGGGCGCGGTTGTAATGTCGCGAAATGTAGAACGGTTGGCAGAAAATAAAAACACCATTCTCCAGGCCTCATGAACAGAAACATTAATAGAAGACGTGCTGTCCACACACGAACGCAGGCAATGTACAGTGGAACAGTGGCTTTATACGGGTAAAATAGCTGAAACTTGACAGGTCAGGCAGGAGGGGCATGGTAAAATACAAAATACAGAAAAGTTGTCAGCAAATTTAAGTTCACATCGGTGGACCCAACGCAGTATTCGTGGTGAAAAAATGTAAATCCACTGTAAGTCAAGTTATATTTTTAGCGCACATGTGTATCCGTTTATATACGCATATAAATTCGTTTACACCGATTTCTTGAGGGGTTGGAGAGCACAATGTTCGTCTGCGCCCTGTTGTCACTAACTGAACATAAACCAAATTAAGTACTGCATCGTCGATTCGTTAGTTAAAAGCCGGTAATGTGGGCGCAGAAATGACAAAAGTCAAAATAGCGTTCCAACGGTGACAAATTCGAAGAGAAGCATAGTTCCGGCGACATTCCAGCCGATTGCATTGCGTCGGCAGTTTCAGCTTGTGACGCTGCAAATTTGTGTTGCGGCTAAGTTTCATGAGGTGGCGATGAGCAAGACCGGGATTTTTCTAGATCTGGTA